TAGATTAGGAATTAATTCTAATTTCATCAACCGTTCAATTGCATTTAGATTTACATGTCCTAATCTAATATGCCATAAATCAGAGCACTCAACTGTATAAACAGAAATAGGCTTTTCATTATCAACGGTTAAACGACTCACGACCATTACATTCACTTTGAACAAACCCTTGTCGAGATAACCACGACCAAGAAATTTTCCAAACTTGCTAAGAACAAACTTCTTAGCATCAAATACCAGCCTAAACCCATGCTCTACAAGAAGTGATCCGGAGACCAAATTCTTGTGGATGTCTGGGACATGCAGAACATCCTTCAGCTTCAACTCCTTTCCAGAAGTGAGCTTCAGCACCACAGTGCCCACTCCAACCACATCAGACGTGGAGGAGTTTCCCATGTGAAATTTCTGACCCGTAGCAGGAGTGTATTCAAAGAACACCTCCTTGTCGGAACACACATGACGAGTGGCACCAGTATCTATGTACAACTCCCTTGGGTTATCCACCAAATTAGCATCAAACACCACAGTCGACATATCAAAGTTGGTTAGTTCACCCGGCACAGGGCCGTGTTCAACAACAAGGGCACTATGTTGCGCCTTATTTTGCTAAGCCTTTTTGGGTTTTCTACAATCCTTAGCCATATGGTTTGGCTTTCCACAGTTGTAGCACGTGCCGGTAAACTTCCAAGTTTTGGCTGGCTGCTTTCCCTTGTTCTGGGTCTTCCTCTTGCTCGAGTTGCCTTGCTCCAGCAAGTTGGCATGAGCTTCCATCATCGGGACTTGTCCTGATGAATTACGATTGTCCTCCTCAATCTGAAGACGAACAACCAAGTCTTCACGACTCATCTTCTTTATCTTGTGTTTGAGATATTTCTTGAAGTTCTTCCAGTCTGGCGGCAGCTTCTCGATTACAGCCGCTACTTGGAATGGCTCACTCAATGTCATCCCTTCAGCATGTATATCGTGCAAGATCAGTTGGAACTCTTGCACTTGCGACACGACAGTCTTCGTGTCAACCATCTTGAAGTCAATAAATTTTCCGACGACGAATTTCTTCGCCTCGACATCTTCAGTCTTGTACTTCTTCTCCAAAGCAGCCCAAAGCTCCTTGGCAGAACCAACAGAGCTGTAGACATTGTACAACTCATTACTAAGTCCATTTAGGACATAGTTCCGGCAAAGGTAATCACCTTGCCCCCAAGCTTCGTACGCAGCGCGTAGTTCAACGTTGGTTTCATTTTCAGCAACAAGAGGGGGATCGTCCTTCAAATATTTTGCCAAACCTAAGGTGGTTTGGTAGAAATGCAACTTCTGCTACCACCTCTTGAAGTCAAGCGCATTGAATTTTTTGGGTTTTTCAGCAGTCGGGACCTGAACAGCAGGTACAGGATGATAATGCTGAACAGAGTTTTTGATCGGCTGCTGAGAGCTGGAACCTGCTCCGGTGGAAGCCATCAGTTCGGTAGGACAAAATATTCTTCTTGCGATTGTTGGATACTTGGTGTGAAATTACACGGGAATCCTACGAACTGATATGTATTTTTCAGTTCTTACAAATAATCTAAAAATAGAAAATTACAATTGAACTGAAAAAATAAATTACAACTGAAAAACATAAAGATTTTAGCCAAGGAGAGTAAAACTTTTTCCGCAAGAAGAATACGCCCCGTGTGCCAGCTAACGGTTCAGGCGTAACTTCCCCAAAGATACAACAACAAACGTCTTTAAATCTGTAGCACACCAAATTTACGAGCTCCGGCGAACGGGAATGGAATCGAGAATTGAGCAGTTAAGAAGAAAAGGAATATCTTAAAACAAATAAAAATATCACTTCTTTTTCTCTTTTTAATATTTTTATATCCGATATTTGGACATAAATCTATCTTTTTTCCTTTCTCTTTCTCTTTCTTTCCTCTCTTTTTCTCTTCTTGTTTTGTGCATTTTTCTCCTGCCTGAGTCCCTCTATTTATAGGGATAGATTGGCACAAGTTGGCCAATTTTCCAACCTTCTACGCAATTTCCTTCCCCACAAATTGACAAATTTGATACCTTCAGATGATGTCTTCACATGTACAGCTCCTACTTTCAATTATAAGGTATGAATTATTACTTTAAAAGTTGGCACACAAACCAAGATGGAGGGTCCCACATTATTTTAATTCTCTCAATTATTCACAACCGTGGTTGATCATGTAGACTAAATTATGAGTCAATTTAGCCAGACCAAATCGATTAATTTGGTAAGGAACTGGATATAATGTTAGCATTGCATTTCATGCAAATTGCTAAAGGCTTCTCAGCGAACTTTAAAGGTTAGAGTTATTTCTAGCTGGAGCTTTAGGTTCTTTGCAAGAAGAGTTTTGTCATATCTCGACTCTTTGTTGAGATTCAGATATGTGGGTGCAATTGGGTAATAACTTTCTTAGCTCATTATGGATGGATTGTGGACATGGACTACGACACCGCTTACACTTGTTATCTGATGTGGAGAACTTTGCCAAAATGTTACATGTTGGCTTTCTCTGGAAGTCCGTACGAGTCTACCCTGATTGTTTATCTGCTTCGGTCTTCTTTATTTGTCTTTATAATTGGGTAGAGAAGTCAGAAGCAAGACAATCAACTGCTCTTCTTATTTGGTTCAGTTTAAGTTATATGTCCTTTCGATAGGATTCTCTTTCGTTTGTGACTTTAGAATGTCCAAAGGGAAAGGGAAGAGAAGCTTGCTGGTATACTTAAAGATAAGACTCAACCTGTATGTCCAAAGAAATAAAGAAGAGTTCATTCATCAAGCTGAGGGTGAGGTCGCAAAGCTTTCTAAAGCGGGTAATACATCTATCTTTGTTTTTTTTTTTTTTAAACCTGGTCTTTTAATTAACTATTTCTC